ATGTGTGGCTGGTTACATGTAACTGTCTGATGTGTGGCTGGTTTGCTTGTAACTGTCTGATGTGTGGCTGGTTACATGTGACTGTTTGATGTGTGACTGGTTACATGTGACTGTTTGATGTGTGGCTGCTTACATGTAACTGTCTGACGTGTAGCTGGTTACATGTAACTGTCTGATGTGTGGCTGGTTACATGTGACTGTTTGATGTTTGGCTGGTTACATGTGACTGTTTGATGTGTGGCTGGTTACATGTAACTGTCTGATGTGTGCCTGGTTACATGTAACTGTCTGATGTGTGGCTGGTTACATGTGACTGTTTGATGTGTGGCTGGTTACATGTAACTGTCTGATGTGTGCCTGGTTACATGTAACTGTCTGATGTGTGGCTGGTTACATGTAACTGTCTGATGTGTGGCTGGGTACATGTAACTGTCTGATGTGTGACTGGTTACATGTGACTGTTTGATGTGTGGCTGCTTACATGTAACTGTCTGACGTGTAGCTGGTTACATGTAACTGTCTGATGTGTGGCTGGTTACATGTGACTGTTTGATGTTTGGCTGGTTACATGTGACTGTTTGATGTGTGGCTGGTTACGTGTAACTGTCTGATGTGTGGCTGGTTACATGTAACTGTCTGATGTGTGGCTGGTTACATGTAGCTGTCTGATGTGTGACTGGTTACATGTAACTGTCTGATGTGTGGCTGGTTACATGTAACTGTCTGATGTGTGGCTGGTTACATGTAACTGTCTGATGTGTGGCTGGTTACATGTAACTGTCTGATGTGTGGCTGGTTACATGTAACTGTCTGATGTGTGGCTGGTTACATGTAACTGTCTGATGTGTGACTGGTTACATGTGACTGTTTGATGTGTGGCTGCTTACATGTAACTGTCTGACGTGTAGCTGGTTACATGTAACTGTCTGATGTGTGGCTGGTTACATGTGACTGTTTGATGTATGGCTGGTTACATGTAACTGTCTGACGTGTGGCTGGTTACATGTAACTGTCTGACGTGTGGCTGGTTACATGTAACAGTCTGATGTGTGGCTGGTTACATGTAACTGTCTGATGTGTGGCTGGTTACATGCAACTGTCTGATGTATGGCTGATTCCAAGTAACTGTCTGATGTGTGGCTGGTTACATGTGACTGTTTGATGTGTGGCTGGTTACATGTAACTGTCTGATGTGTGGCTGATTCGAAGTAACTGTCTGATGTGTGGCTGGTTACATGTGACTGTTTGATGTGTGGCTGGTTACATGTAACTGTCTGATGTGTGGCTGGTTACATGTAACTGTCTGATGTGTGGCTGGTTTGCTTGTAACTGTCTGATGTGTGGCTGGTTACATGTGACTGTTTGATGTGTGACTGGTTACATGTGACTGTTTGATGTGTGGCTGCTTACATGTAACTGTCTGACGTGTAGCTGGTTACATGTAACTGTCTGATGTGTGGCTGGTTACATGTGACTGTTTGATGTTTGGCTGGTTACATGTGACTGTTTGATGTGTGGCTGGTTACATGTAACTGTCTGATGTGTGCCTGGTTACATGTAACTGTTTGATGTGTGGCTGGTTACATGTGACTGTTTGATGTGTGGCTGGTTACATGTAACTGTCTGATGTGTGCCTGGTTACATGTAACTGTCTGATGTGTGGCTGGTTACATGTAACTGTCTGATGTGTGGCTGGGTACATGTAACTGTCTGATGTGTGACTGGTTACATGTGACTGTTTGATGTGTGGCTGCTTACATGTAACTGTCTGACGTGTAGCTGGTTACATGTAACTGTCTGATGTGTGGCTGGTTACATGTGACTATTTGATGTTTGGCTGGTTACATGTGACTGTTTGATGTGTGGCTGGTTACATGTAACTGTCTGATGTGTGGCTGGTTACATGTAACTGTCTGATGTGTGGCTGGTTACATGTAACTGTCTGATGTGTGACTGGTTACATGTAACTGTCTGATGTGTGGCTGGTTACGTGTAACTGTCTCATGTGTGGCTGGTTACATGTAACTGTCTGATGTGTGGATGGTTACATGTAACTGTCTGATGTGTGGCTGGTTACATGTAACTGTCTGATGTGTGGCTGGTTACATGTAACTGTCTGATGTGTGACTGGTTACATGTGACTGTTTGATGTGTGGCTGCTTACATGTAACTGTCTGACGTGTAGCTGGTTACATGTAACTGTCTGATGTGTGCCTGGTTACATGTAACTGTCTGATGTGTGGCTGGTTACATGTGACTGTTTGATGTGTGGCTGGTTACATGTAACTGTCTGATGTGTGCCTGGTTACATGTAACTGTCTGATGTGTGGCTGGTTACATGTAACTGTCTGATGTGTGGCTGGGTACATGTAACTGTCTGATGTGTGACTGGTTACATGTGACTGTTTGATGTGTGGCTGCTTACATGTAACTGTCTGACGTGTAGCTGGTTACATGTAACTGTCTGATGTGTGGCTGGTTACATGTGACTGTTTGATGTTTGGCTGGTTACATGTGACTGTTTGATGTGTGGCTGGTTACGTGTAACTGTCTGATGTGTGGCTGGTTACATGTAACTGTCTGATGTGTGGCTGGTTACATGTAGCTGTCTGATGTGTGACTGGTTACATGTAACTGTCTGATGTGTGGCTGGTTACATGTAACTGTCTGATGTGTGGCTGGTTACATGTAACTGTCTGATGTGTGGCTGGTTACATGTAACTGTCTGATGTGTGGCTGGTTACATGTAACTGTCTGATGTGTGGCTGGTTACATGTAACTGTCTGATGTGTGACTGGTTACATGTGACTGTTTGATGTGTGGCTGCTTACATGTAACTGTCTGACGTGTAGCTGGTTACATGTAACTGTCTGATGTGTGGCTGGTTACATGTGACTGTTTGATGTATGGCTGGTTACATGTAACTGTCTGACGTGTGGCTGGTTACATGTAACTGTCTGACGTGTGGCTGGTTACATGTAACAGTCTGATGTGTGGCTGGTTACATGTAACTGTCTGATGTGTGGCTGGTTACATGCAACTGTCTGATGTATGGCTGATTCCAAGTAACTGTCTGATGTGTGGCTGGTTACATGTGACTGTTTGATGTGTGGCTGGTTACATGTAACTGTCTGATGTGTGGCTGATTCGAAGTAACTGTCTGATGTGTGGCTGGTTACATGTGACTGTTTGATGTGTGGCTGGTTACATGTAACTGTCTGATGTGTGGCTGGTTACATGTAACTGTCTGATGTGTGGCTGGTTTGCTTGTAACTGTCTGATGTGTGGCTGGTTACATGTGACTGTTTGATGTGTGACTGGTTACATGTGACTGTTTGATGTGTGGCTGCTTACATGTAACTGTCTGACGTGTAGCTGGTTACATGTAACTGTCTGATGTGTGGCTGGTTACATGTGACTGTTTGATGTTTGGCTGGTTACATGTGACTGTTTGATGTGTGGCTGGTTACATGTAACTGTCTGATGTGTGCCTGGTTACATGTAACTGTTTGATGTGTGGCTGGTTACATGTGACTGTTTGATGTGTGGCTGGTTACATGTAACTGTCTGATGTGTGCCTGGTTACATGTAACTGTCTGATGTGTGGCTGGTTACATGTAACTGTCTGATGTGTGGCTGGGTACATGTAACTGTCTGATGTGTGACTGGTTACATGTGACTGTTTGATGTGTGGCTGCTTACATGTAACTGTCTGACGTGTAGCTGGTTACATGTAACTGTCTGATGTGTGGCTGGTTACATGTGACTATTTGATGTTTGGCTGGTTACATGTGACTGTTTGATGTGTGGCTGGTTACATGTAACTGTCTGATGTGTGGCTGGTTACATGTAACTGTCTGATGTGTGGCTGGTTACATGTAACTGTCTGATGTGTGACTGGTTACATGTAACTGTCTGATGTGTGGCTGGTTACGTGTAACTGTCTCATGTGTGGCTGGTTACATGTAACTGTCTGATGTGTGGATGGTTACATGTAACTGTCTGATGTGTGGCTGGTTACATGTAACTGTCTGATGTGTGGCTGGTTACATGTAACTGTCTGATGTGTGACTGGTTACATGTGACTGTTTGATGTGTGGCTGCTTACATGTAACTGTCTGACGTGTAGCTGGTTACATGTAACTGTCTGATGTGTGGCTGGTTACATGTGACTGTTTGATGTATGGCTGGTTACATGTAACTGTCTGACGTGTGGCTGGTTACATGTAACTGTCTGACGTGTGGCTGGTTACATGTAACTGTCTGATGTGTGGCTGGTTACATGTAACTGTCTGATGTGTGGCTGGTTACATGCAACTGTCTGATGTATGGCTGATTCCAAGTAACTGTCTGATGTGTGGCTGGTTACATGTGACTGTTTGATGTGTGGCTGGTTACATGTAACTGTCTGATGTGTGGCTGATTCCAAGTAACTGTCTGATGTGTGGCTGGTTACATGTGACTGTTTGATGTGTGGCTGGTTACATGTAACTGTCTGATGTGTAGCTGGTTACATGTAACTGTTTGATGTGTGGCTGGTTACATGTGAATGTTTGATGTGTGGCTGGTTACATGTAACTGTCTGACGTGTGGCTGGTTACATGTAACTGTCAGATCTGTGGCTGGTTACAAGTGACTGTTTGATGTGTGGCTGGTTACATGTAACTGTTTGATGTGTGGCTGGTTACATGTAACTGCCTGAAGTGTGGCTGGTTACATGTAACTGTCTGATGTGTGGCTGGTTACATGTGACTGTCTGATGTGTGGCTGGTTTGCTTGTAACTGTCTGATGTGTGGCTGGTTACATGTGACTGTCTGATGTGTGGCTGGTTACATGTAACTGTCTGATGTGTGGCTGGTTACATGTAACTGTCTGATGTGTGGCTGGTTACATGTAACTGTCTGATGTGTGGCTGGTTACATGTAACTGTCTGATGTGTGGCTGGTTACATGTAACTGTCTGATGTGTGGCTGGTTACATGTAACTGTCTGATGTGTGGCTGGTTACATGTAACTGTCTGATGTGTGGCTGGTTACATGTAACTGTCTGATGTGTGACTGGTTACATGTAACTGTACATTTGGCTGGTTACTAGTAACTGTCTGATGTGTGGCTGGTTACATGTAACTGTCTGATGTGTGGCTGGTTACATGTAACTGTCTGATGTGTCGCTGGTTACATGTAACTGTACATTTGGCTGGTTACGTGTGACTGTTTGATGTGTGGCTGGTTACATGCAACTGTGTGATGTGTGGCTGGTTACACGTTACTGTTTGGGCTGTGGACGGGTTGTAAGTAATCGGAGTCAATGATTTCGGCATACTCTGGTTCGACACTGTGGTACACTGGGCCAGCTGTGTCATCTGTGTTCGACACACCCAAGTAGACATGTTCAGATGAATTCGTGATCGATGCAGTAGTCGCGTATGGGCTCGAATCAGATGGCATGGCTGACGGCGGTGGCTTCGTCATTTGAGGTGCGTTCCCAGACTTCTCCTTTGCAGGCGCAGTGACAGGCTTTCGTTTTCGACTAAAAACACAAAATTCAAAATGAGTTAGTCATTCCCATACGACACCCCCAAACCCGCTGTCATGTCCCCAGGCGCGTTCAGACAACTCTTGTCATATCTCCTCCCACCCCCACACAGACACACAGTTCTAGCCATAACCCATGCAAAGACTCACTATTCTAACCCCCCCCACCACCCCCCACCACCACACACACACACTTTTCTAACCTCACCCCCACACAGACCCACTATTCTAACCCCGCCCCACATAGATTCACTATTCTAACCCCGCCCCACATAGACTCACTATTCTAACCCCGCCCCACATAGACTCACTATTCTAACCCAACCCCACCCCCACAGACTCACTATTCTAACTCCACCCACACAGACTCACTATTCTAACCCCCCCCCCCCCCCCCCCCCCCCACACACACACACTTTTCTAACCTCACCCCCACACAGACCCACTATTCTAACCCCACCCCAAATAGACTCACTATTCTAACCCCATCCCCCCCACACACACACTTTTCTAACCTCACCCCCACACAGACCCACTATTCTAACCCCACCCCAAATAGACTCACTATTCTAACCCCATCCCCCCCCACACACACACACTTTTCTAACCTCACCCCCACACAGACCCACTATTCTAACCCCATCCCCCCCCCCCCACACACACTTTTCTAACCTCACCCCCACACAGACTCACTATTCTAACCCCATCCCCCCCACACACACACACTTTTCTAACCTCACCCTCACACAGACCCACTATTCTAACCCCGCCCCACATAGACTCACTATTCTAACCCAACCCCACCCCCACAGACTCACTATTCTAACCCCACCCCACATAGACTCACTATTCTAACCTCACCCCCACACAGACCCACTATTCTAACTCCGCCCCACATAGACTCACTATTCTAACCCCGCCCCACATAGACTCACTATTCTAACCCAACCCCACCCCCACAGACTCACTATTCTAACCCCCCCCCCCCCCCCCCCCCCACACACACACACACTTTTCTAACCTCACCCCCACACAGACCCACTATTCTAACTCCGCCCCACATAGACTCACTATTCTAACCCCGCCCCACATAGACTCACTATTCTAACCCCACCCCACCCACACAGACACACTATTCTAACCCCATCCACACAGACTCACTATTCTAACCCCATTCCCACACAGACCCACTATTCTAACCCCATCCCCAAACAGACCCACTATTCTAACCCCATCCCCACACAGATTCACTATTCTAACCCTATCCCCACACAGACTCACAATTATAACCCCACCCCCACACAGATCCAGTGTTCTAACCCCACCCTCACACAGACTCACAATTCAGACGGCGGTGGCATCGATATTGTCATTGGAGGTGCGTTCACAGACTTCTCCTTTGAAAACACAGTGACAGGCTTTCGTTTTCGACTAAAAACACAAAATTCAAAATGAGTTAGTCATTCCCAAACGACACCCAAACCCTCACACAGACTCACTTTTCTAACCCCCCCCCACCCCCCCCCCCCCCCCCCCACACACACACACACTTTTCTTACCTCACCCCCACACAGACCCACTATTCTAACCCCACCCACACAGACCCACTATTCTAACCCCTTCCTCACACACACACACTTTTCTAACCCCACCCACACACAGACCCACTATTCTAACCCCATCCCCCCCCCCCCCCCCCCCCCCCCCCCCACACACACACTTTTCTAACCTCACCCCCACACAAACCCACTATTCTAACTCCGCCCCACATAGACTCACTTTTCTAACCCCGCCCCACATAGACTCACTATTCTAACCCCACCCCACCCACACAGACACACTATTCTAACCCCATCCCCACACAGACCCACTATTCTAACCCCATCCCCACACAGACTCACTATTCTAACCCCATCCCCACACAGACTCACTATTCTAACCCCATCCACACACAGACTCACAATTATAACCCCACCCCAACACAGATCCAGTGTTCTAACCCTACCCTCACACAGACTCACAATTCTAACCCCACCCCACACAGACTCACTTTTCTAACCCCACCCCCACACGGACCCTCTGTGCTACCCCCACCCCAACCCAGAGCTCTTTCCTACCCACAGACACCCCTCCGAATTCAACTTTTCCAAAAACATGTGAAGTTTTGCCACTCACAGTTTGAGTACCAACAGGACGACGGCAACCACGACGACAGCGAAACCCAAGAGGACACCGCACACAACTCCAGCTATGGCACCTGGACAACATACATCGGTGTATATACTACTTGTGTGTCAAAGTTCATGTACAACATTCCCTATATAATCAAGGCAAAGGTATGTAATTCCATTGGGATGCTTGTAATGTAATTTCCAAATACATGTGAAAAAGTTTTATTGATGCAAAAAACTCACAAAATGCCCACCCAACTGTATTATAAGTGCACAGCATGACGTCATGACAGCATCGTATACTACAGACAGAGGACATGACGTCACGACACGGAACATGACGTCAGGACACAAGACATACACACACAGCGTGATGGCCATTGTGTCCATATTGCAGATGGACATCCCACGGTATTTGTTCTGCTGCCTATGTATAATGACTTTGAAATCTAATCTTGAACCTTGCGACTTTATAAGTGATACATGTATTAAAAATAAACACCTGTGACACTCTCAACCATCATGGCTCATGACCCGTAAGATAATGACAAAAAAAATTCCAGTTACGTTTTACCCTAGAGCATGAGTGAGTGAGTGAGTTGGGTTTAACGCCGCTTTTAACAGTATTCCAGTTATATCACGGCGTGTCAGCTAAATTTGGGAGGAAACCCCGAAGTGATGCGGGTCTTTGACGTTTACAACTTCGGTGAAGATTCCGGGTTAGAATAGGTCTTCAGCAACCCATGCTTGCCGTAAAAGGCGACTATGCTTGTCGTAAAAAGCGACTAACGGGATCGGGTGGTCAGGCTCGCTGACTTGGTTGATACATGTCATCGATCCCAATTGCGTGGATTGATGCTTACAGATATGGATGCTTACAGATATGGATTGTCTGGTCCAGACTCGATTATTTTACAGACCGCCGTCATATAGCTGGAATATTGCTGAGTGCGGCGTTAAACAACAAACAAACAAACAAACAAAAACTTCGGTGAAACCCACGAGCACGGGTATGGTGCTGACAAACCTAGAAACGTAATCAGGGTGAACCGGGATTCGAACCCACAATCATAGGTTTCTTGCGTGCACGTCGAATTGCGGCGCCTTAGACGACTGGGCCACCCGTGCCCCCCACCCCTCCCCCCCTCCTCGAGCATGAAGCATACCCGATCTTTTACAAGTTCACATTTTACTCAATATAACGCTATGTATATTTTTGATATTTCTTTGCTTGACGTCTTTCCAATTAGAAAAGTTGCTGACAAGCAGAAGGAATAACGGTGAATCTGATCAGTCATATCTGTAAATGTTTTACCGAGGGAGACAGCAGGTTCCTGGCTCCTATCTTGAGATCCGCCACCAGGTACCGTGATGGCTGCCATCGTCTTTGTCGTCCCGCCGCCATCAGCTGTGCAAGACGTAAGTTGTTCCTTATTTTCGATCACAGTAATCGTCCTCTGTCAATTTTGTAATCTAAACCACGTTCTACCGGGATAATGGACAGGCTCCAGAACGGGTATATCAGCATTTCTCAATATTCTGTCAGTTGCTGCAGGTAGAGCTTATTTTATTTTATTAATTAAGGAATTAACTTCACTTTGTCAGTGACGTTGCATCGCGAAGTGCATCAACTCACATGAGCACCTTGATTAATAACATGAAAAGATTTGAAAAATATGTGTGCACATGCTTTTCAAATCCTGCAATCGACCAAAATCGGCACCACAGTTTACCGACAAGATTTCGATTTTGTTGCGCGATTTTGATTGGACTATGCACAGACTCGTCAGTCCAGCCAAAATGTAACTCCATAATACCAGCCAAGTTCGGCAAGTGTGGAAACTGGACTTTTATAGTCAGTTAACTCTCTTGCCTCGGGAATATGCCACCTGGAGTGACCAGTCCTTGCGTATACACGTGGGGTCGGTCGAGGCGTTCAGACACACACACGGGCTGGGGATCCGGGTTAGAATAGGTCTTCAGCAACCCATGCTTGCCGTAAAAGGCGACTATGCTTGCCGTAAAAGGCGACGAACAAGATCGGGTGGTCAGGCTCGCTGACTTGGTTGATGCATGTCATCGTATCCCAATTGCGTGGATCGATGCTCATGTTGTCAATCACTGGATTGTCTGGTCCAGACTCGATTATTTACAGACCGCCGTCATATAGCTGGAATATTGCTGAGTGCGGCGTTAAACAACAAGAAAAACAAAACAAAAAACATGGTCTGGTCGCTACTTCATGTACTACCTGTGAACCATGGGCTGTTGTCAGTACTCACCAGATGTTGGGCCACCTTTTGCTGTTGTTGTTGTTGTTGTTTTCGTTGATTTTGTTGTTGATGCTGTTGATGTTGTCGAAGTGTCTAAGCAAAGAAAAGTTGGAAAATTGACATTGTCTGGTCATTAGTATTACTGTAGATTAGCTCGTGTTCATCCTGGTCACGTGCATTGTGGCTGTCAGACACACCAGGACTGATAGCGACACACTGACCTGGTTCCGTTCTACAACACAACCTTAGTGACACGACTGTCGTAAGTCAATGTTAAGGTATGGGTGTAACGATCACCTTAGCGCTAAGATCATTAACGACAGCCTGGGTACCATTGTACAAAGCGATCTTAGCGCGAAGGTGATCGTAACTCCCATACCTTGACATAGACTTACGACAGTCGTAGCGCTAAGGTTGTTTTGTACGATGGGGCCCGGGGGTCTAAAGCATGTACGATCTACATAGTATTACTGTAAATTATGTATAAATGCAGGAATATATTACGTTACTGCTTTTCATAAGTGCAAGAAAGAAGGCATATTTTAATGTATGTATTTAACCAATACCCCGCTCGGAATCCGACAGGGAGATTATTAGCCATTACTGAACATTACTAGCCATTATTGGACATTACTGGCCATTATTGGACATTACTAGCCATTCTTCTATATATACAACTTATAAACGGCTGACGTGACGCATAGGTGAGGTGAGGTGAGATGAGGTGAAATGGGGTTTAACGTCGCGTCCAAGATTATTGCACTTATATAGTGACATGCATCACTGAGGTTGTTCTTAACAAACCTAGCAAGCCAAACAGCCCCAATGACAGACCCAATGAATATTATTGGAATGCATGTGTTGTGTCAGATGTTCCTGAAGACCCAGTTGTGCATCCATGCGCTCATATCTCACCTCCCTTTTTGTGGAACTATTTTATTTCGCGATTCAACTTGCTGTCGTATGGTTGTCAGTGTAAACACGAAGTCAACGTAGTGAAAATTGTGTATAGATCTGGGCCTGCATCCTTCGAGGTAAAAAGATAGTGATAAAAACTAGCAAGAATTGACTGTCACTTTGTGTGAGTTCATGGGATTGTGAACCTTCATAGAGCGGGGGCCAAGCATGGAGAGATTAGCTTCAATAAGTGCAAGAAAGAAGGCATAACATTGTTAAATTGTTATTAATAGCTGCATGCTTCAAGATGTTATTTGTTATTACAATGTAGTTAGTAAGACAGACATATCACGTGACACTGTTTCTCAAAGAACATACAATTATTCGTTATTGACAAAACATGAAATAAATATAAATACGTTAGTGACTTCGTGTAAGCAGAAATACCTGATACATGTAAAAAGCCACAGAAGCCTGCTGATGAGATAACATGAAACATGAAACATGAAACATATTTCTCTCTCTCTCTCTCTTTCTCTCTCACTCTCTCTCTTTCTCTCTCTTTCTCTCTCTCTCTCCGCTACATGTAGATATGCCACAGAATTTCTTCACCCGTTTGATCGTTTGACACAGACCTTCAAAGATACGTACATCCCAAAATGGCATGATTCTTTCTCCAATTACTACACTACATTTAAGACTACTATTATGCCAGAACCTTTTCTATTATGTGTAAATTTACATAAGTTTAGAACAGCTTCTTCTCGATTTCGTTGTGGCTCACATGATCTATTTATTGTAACAGGCAGATATGAAGGTATTGCAAGAGAACACAGACTTTGTAGGATTTGTAAAACTTATTGTACTGAAGATCAATATCACTTTTTATGTGTATGTCCAGTGTATAATGACTTAAGAGCAACACATCTAAATAACCTTTTCTATCACAACCCAAACGGTAACAAATTCTGTAAATAAATGACATGTGATCTATGTTCATTTATCATGCTATGAAACTAAGTAAAATGTATGAATTTGTTACACGCCCCAGAAAATGTACTATAGGCCTCAGTACCATGAATAATGATGGATTGATTCAATCATTGATTGATTTTGTATTCCACTATCCATGACCCACACCCCTTGGTGCAGGGAAGGTGCTTCATCCTGACACCTCTATCATATTACAGAGGCATTATCTTACCCGACGACGGCCTTAACGTCGTCGTCGTCGACCTCTGTCCGCTGATGCAGCTGCCGTCCGTCTTGTCGCAGACCTCGTTCGTGTTGATGCAGTTGCAGCGGCTGCTGCATTGTTCCCCAAACCAGTAGTCCCCACATACTGAAAATAGGGAAACATTACACGTACATCAATAAGTACAGATCACTGTCAATGTAAACATCGCTGTCAATGTAAACATCACTGTCAATGTAAACATCACTGTCAATGTAAACATCACTGTCAATGTAAACATCACCGTCAATGTAAACATCACTGTCAATGTAAACATCACCGTCAATGTAAACATCACCGTCAATGTAAACATCACTGTCAATGTAAACATCACCGTCAATGTAAACATCACTGTCAATGTAAAGATCATTGTCAATGTAAACATCACTGTCAATGTAAACATCACTGTCAATGTAAACATCATTGTCAATGCACATCCACATGTAAACATCGCTGTCAATGTAAACATCACTGTCAATGTAAACATCGCTGTCAATGTAAACATCACCGTCAATGTAAACATCACTGTCAATGTAAACATCACTGTCAATGTAAACATCACTGTCAATGTAAACATCACCGTCAATGTAAACATCACCGTCAATGTAAACATCACTGTCAATGTAAACATCACCGTCAATGTAAACATCACTGTCAATGTAAAGATCATTGTCAATGTAAACATCACTGTCAATGTAAACATCACTGTCAATGTAAAGATCATTGTCAATGTAAACATCACCGTCAATGTAAACATCACTGTCAATGTAAACATCACTGTCAATGTAAACATCACTGTCAATGTAAACATCACCGTCAATGTAAACATCACCGTCAATGTAAACATCACTGTCAATGTAAACATCACCGTCAATGTAAACATCACTGTCAATGTAAAGATCACTGTCAATGTAAACATCACTGTCAATGTAAACATCACCGTCAATGTAAAGATCATTGTCAATGTAAACATCACCGTCAATGTAAACATCACTGTCAATGTAAACATCACTGTCAATGTAAACATCACTGTTAATGTAAACATCACTGTCAATACACATCCACATGTAAACATCGCTGTCAATGTAAACATCACTGTCAATGTAAACATCACTGTCAATGTAAACATCGCTGTCAATGTAAACATCACTGTCAATGTAAACATCACTGTCAATGTAAACATCACTGTCAATGCACATCCACATGTAAACATCACTGTCAATGCACATCCACATGTAAACATCGCTGTCAATGTAAACATCACTGTCAATGTAAACATCACTGTCAATGTAAACATCACCGTCAATGTAAACATCACTGTCAATGTAAACATCACTGTCAATGTAAACATCACCGTCAATGTAAACACCACTGTCAATGTAAAGATCATTGTCAATGTAAACATCACTGTCAATGTAAACATCACTGTCAATGTAAACATCACTGTCAATGTAAACATCACTGTCAATGTAAACATCACCGTCAATGTAAACATCACCGTCAATGTAAACATCACCGTCAATGTAAACATCACTGTCAATGTAAACATCACTGTCAATGTAAACATCGCTGTCAATATCACTGTCAATGTAAACATCGCTGTCAATGTAAACATCGCTGTCAATGTAAACATCACTGTCAATGTAAACATCGCTGTCAATGTAAACATCACTGTCAATGTAAACATCACTGTCAATGTAAACATCACTGTCAATGTAAACATCATTGTCAATGTAAACATCATTGTCAATGCACATCCACATGTAAACATCGCTGTCAATGTAAACATCACTGTCAATGTAAACATCACTGTCAATGTAAACATCACTGTCAATGTAAACATCGCTGTCAATGTAAACATCACCGTCAATGTAAACATCACCGTCAATGTAAACATCACTGTCAATGTAAACATCACTGTCAATGTAAACATCATTGTCAATGCACATCCACATGTAAACATCGCTGTCAATGTAAACATCACTGTCAATGTAAACATCACTATCAATGTAAACATCACTGTCAATGTAAACATCACTGTCAATGTAAACATCGCTGTCAATGTAAACATCACCGTCAATGTAAACATCACTGTCAATGTAAACATCACCGTCAATGTAAACATCACTGTCAATGTAAACATCATTGTCAATGTAAACATCACTGTCAATGCACATCCACATGTAAACATCGCTGTCAATGTAAACATCACTGTCAATGTAAACATCAACGTCAATGTAAACATCACCGTCAATGTAAACATCACTGTCAATGTAAACATCACTGTCAATGTAAACATCATTGTCAATGTAAACATCACTGTCAATGCACATCCACATGTAAACATCGCTGTCAATGTAAACATCACTGTCAATGTAAACATCACCGTCAATGTAAACATCACCGTCAATGTAAACATCACTGTCAATGTAAACATCACTGTCAATGTAAACATCATTGTCAATGTAAACATCACTGTCAATGCACATCCACATGTAAACATCGCTGTCAATGTAAACATCACTGTCAATGTAAACATCACTGTCAATGTAAACATCACCGTCAATGTAAACATCACCGTCAATGTAAACATCACTGTCAATGTTAACATCACTGTCAATGTAAACATCATTGTCAATGTAAACATCACTGTCAATGCACATCCACATGTAAACATCACTGTCAATGTAAACATCACCGTCAATGTAAACATCACTGTCAATGTAAACATCACTGTCAATGCACATCCACATGTAAACATCACTGTCAATGTAGAGATCATTGTCAATGTAAACATCACTGTCAATGTAAACATCGCTGTCAATGTAAACATCACTCTCAATGCACATCCACATATAAACATCACTGTCAATGTAGAGATCATTGTCAATGTAAACATCACTGTCAATGTAAACATCGCTGTCAATGTAAACATCACTGTCAATGTAAACATCACCGTCAATGTAAACATCACCGTCAATGTAAACATCACTGTCAATGTAAACATCACTGTCAATGTAAACATCACTGTCAATGTAAACATCACTGTCAATGCACATCCGCATTAAATATACGTATAAACGTATCTGTGTGTGTAAACATTAAGGTAAATGTATATCCAAATATAAATACGACACGGTGATACTAGCTGACGCACAGATACGGTCAGCAGTTGATTTGTGCCGTGTGGAGCACGTGTAGTGCAGTTATTGTGTAGACGCCCTGAGGACCATACATGGACCAGTCTATACATGGAAAGCACCAAGACGCTTTGAATTCCAGCACTCTCTGTTCAGCTCTGTATAGCTCTGTATAGCTCTGTATTACTCTGTATAGCTCTGTATAGCTCTGTATAACTCGGTATTACTCTGTATAGCTCTGTATTACTCTGTATAGCTCTGTATTACTCTGTATAGCTCTGTATTACTCCGTATAGCTCTGTATAAGCTCTGTTTTACTCTGTATAGCTCTGTATTACTCTGTATAGCTCTGTATAGCTCTGTATTGCTCTGTATAGCTCTGTATAGCTCTGTATAGCTCTGTATTACTCTGTATAGCTCTGTATAGCTCTGTATTACTCTGTATTACTCTGTATAGCTCTGTATTACTCTGTATAGCTCTGTATTACTCTGCATTGCTCTGTATAAGCTCTGTATTACTCTGTATAGCTCTGTATAGCTCTGTATTACTCTGTATAGCTCTGTATAGCTCTGTATTACTCTGTATAGCTCTGTATAGCTCTTTATTACTCTGTATAGCTCTGTATTACTCTGTATAGCTCTGTATTACTCTGCATTGCTCTGTATTACTCTGTATAGCTCTGTATTACTCTGTATAGCTCTGTATAACTCTGTAGATCTCTGTATAGCTCTGTATAGCTCTGTATTACTCTGTATAGCTCTGTATTACTCTGTATAGCTCTGTATAGCTCTGTATAGCTCTGTATAGCTCTGTATTACTCTGTATAGCTCTGTATAGCTCTGTATTACTCTGTATTACTCTGTATAGCTCTGTATTACTCTGTATAGCTCTGTATTACTCTGCATTGCTCTGTATAAGCTCTGTATTACTCTGTATAGCTCTGTATAGCTCTGTATTACTCTGTATAGCTCTGTATAGCTCTGTATTACTCTGTATAGCTCTGTATAGCTCTTTATTACTCTGTATAGCTCTGTATTACTCTGTATAGCTCTGTATTACTCTGCATTGCTCTGTATAAGCTCTGTATTACTCTGTATAGCTCTGTATTACTCTGCATAGCTCTGTATTACTCTGAATAGCTCTGTATTACTCTGTATAGCTCTGTATAGCTCTGTATTACTCTGTATAGCTCTGTATAGCTCTTTATTACTCTGTATAGCTCTGTATTACTCTGTATAGCTCTTTATTACTCTGTATAGCTCTGTATTACTCTGTATAGCTCTGTATAGCTCTGTATAACTCGGTATTACTCTGTATAGCTCTGTATTACTCTGTATAGCTCTGTATTACTCTGTATAGCTCTGTATTACTCCGTATAGCTCTGTATAAGCTCTGTTTTACTCTGTATAGCTCTGTATTACTCTGTATAGCTCTGTTTAGCTCTGTATAGCTCTGTATTACTCTGTATTACTCTGTATAGCTCTGTATTACTCTGTATAGCTCTGTATAGCTCTGTATAGCTCTGTATTACTCTGCATTACTCTGTATAGCTCTGTATTACTCTGTATAGCTCTGTATTACTCTGTATAGCTCTGTATTACTCCGTATAGCTCTGTATAGCTCTGTATTACTCTGTATAGCTCTGTTTTACTCTGTATAGCTCTGTATAGCTCTGTATTACTCTGTATAGCTCTGAATTACTCTGTATAGCTCTGTATAGCTCTGTATTACAAGGTCTGTGTAGCTCCAGGACATATGAAGGGGTGCAGAGTGCCTGTGTATACATCAAGCTGTAAGGTGCCTGGAACGAGCTGGTGATGCTGCCTAGGTCCCTCGACCTTCACCTTCATCTGGACGACATCTTACATGAGGCCAACTCTTAGTAACCCACTGGAGGGTAGTAAATGAAGGGACTGTATTGCTGTGTTCCAAATATATCTGTTTTGACATTTAAATGCAAGACAGTTGAAAGGGTAAATGTTTAGGAGGATGTATCAGAATACATGCCAATAAGATGCACGAAACTCGTTACATGTGTAAATTCAGAGCTCTCGAGTGTCAACGTCCCCGCTGGACGTGATATTGCACTAGTTCGCGACTGTTATTGTGAAGTTTGAATAAGTATATTTAGTTACACCGATGACAAAATCCTTTTGTTTGTCTGACGTCATATAACAGTCGTGTATGAGTTCATCTGACTATGTAGACTATAGACTGTCGACGTGTTCGTGTGTGTCGTAACTTATATTAACCAGCTGGTTCTTTTATGTAATGTTGAGCGAACTGCATAATTATGTCGTCACAGCTGTGTAAAAGGGGAATCCCATTCGTGACCAACTCGTGTTATTCCGGGACAAGCCGAATAGCTACTCGTGCCCCTCTCATGGCCATTTTTTTTGACCGGGTTCCGTCTTAGCGCAAACGGGCATACCTAAAACAATTGTCAACTCTTTGCGTGATGGTTCACATATATTTCCCCATGTATTATATATATTTCAGATGCAAGCTACAGCACAGCGGGACATGCGGAATTCTACAGTATGATTGAACACATTTAACTGTGTCTTGGGTATATTTTTAGATGCAAGACATATATAAAATGACAAATTATTTCTGAGGGATTCTTTGACGAAGAACTTGAAATCATACGCGCATTCAGATTGGTTTGTCGTATTTTCGCACATAACATTCATCGATAGGGGGACGAGTCTACTTGCAGGTTACGGAAATGGGCGAGTTGTGACGAATGAGGGGAATCCCCTAGTTTCGATCGCTGAGTGGCCATGTCGGAAGCCGCCATTTTCCCCACGGTAAAACTGCTGTGTTTGTTTTGATTTGGAAATATTGCATACACGCAACTTGGCGGCTGTCACGCGTGGTGCTGGTTTGACACTGGATGCAGCACCGTTAACAGCACTAATTGCACACAGCATCGACATCAACACCGCTTGCAAACAGTATGGTGAGCATATAGACTTGATAGCATTGCTCCAGTTGTGTCTGACTTAAAAGCCTATATAGGTCACGTGAATTAATGCAGTTGGGGAGAACAATGTCTGTGTTTTCATAAAGATTGGTTTAATGTCGTGTGAAATTCACATATGTATTGTTTGATAACATTGTTAGATGGTCGTGCATGTCGGTCAACGTCATGTAGAGATGTACCTGCTGTCGGCGGTTAACCTCGCCTGGTAAACAGGCTATAATGGCGGAGGGAGGACACGGCAGTTTAGAGCCTGACGATGAAACAGATTTCGAGAAGATTGAACAATCATCAGAAACCGTTGGCAATCTACAAAATTTAACCATTACAAGTAATAAAACATGCATTGGAAGATTGTTCAACATTTCCCGTGCCAAATCTGTGACTATTAACCAAAGCGCCAATGAGAGTCGCGGGACAGAGCGGACGTTTGACGACGTGATTCATGGCAGTGATATTTCCCTTTGTCAGGGCAACACGCGTGCAGAGCGCACAGGTCAAGGCTATCAGCATGGGTTATGTTTCGTCAGTGAAAGCATCTCAGATGACAAAGCCGTGCATTTTAGGATATTGGAAACATTTGAGGGAAAACACGGAAAATTCAGACTTGGGTTCCTGAAAAGAGACCCAACTCGCCTCAAAGGTACCCCCGTTTTACAGAAGCCAGTGCTCAGTGTTAAATCCTGCGATGATTTCATCATTTGTGACCCTTTCATGGACACGTGTGCATACCCAAATGCTGTGATCTTCTTCTCCTTCTCAAATGGAAAGATCACATTCTGTTCAAGTAAGGATGATAAGCAGGAGTTTCCTTATAAGGGATGGACAGACACCGAAGCCACGCCCATGTGGGCTTTCATTGAACTTCTTGGTCAGGTAACTTCGGCAGAAGTAATTAACAACACATTCCATGACGTCCACGGCTCCAACGTCACTACAACGGAAACCAAAGCCACTCGCACATCCACCTCCTCCAATCTCGGCAGCAAGGGAGGGTATGTGTGTTTCACGCGGACACCAGTAGCTCCTGGGGTGGAGGTTGAGTTCAAGCTGACCGGTATTCAACTGTCAGCCTCGGGGCACCTGCGGGTTGGCCTGTGTACAGAAGATCCTGCAATAATTCATGTAGATACAATACCTGCCAGCGTCACACGAGACAACCGATTCCGGACGATGGATCTTGGGAATGAGGATGGCGTTTGTGGGAACGTCATCAGCCTTGTGCCGATCGAGCAACATCTGTGCGTGTTCGTGAATAACACCAAACAGGTTGGATTCATTAACCTTGGTGAAAAGTCCTACTGCCCTGTTGTGGAACTGTTTGGGAATACAAAGTCTGTAGAGGTGTTTCCACAGCCCCCCTCGGACGAGCCCCAGGTTACAAGGTTCACAGGACACGCTGACATAATGACATGTCCAGCAGTAGACGAGCAGGTGTTAGCTGTGGTGTCTCTGTGGTTAGAGAGCCAAGTCGTAGTGAACCACATCAAATCGGTTGCCATGGCTATAGCGTCTGTGTTGGATACGTACAACCCTTGGGTGTTCTGGAACAGGTGTGTGGAGACTACAGCATCCCTCGCTTCCTACCTTGGTCTGTCGGATTATGTCTACGTGGTTGAAGTCGGAGATGCACCCAGGGTAGTTAGAACCGACGCACTGAGAGTGACTGACATGGTTGTTAAGTTTGCAGAGACGGTTGATGAAGTCAGGGATGCAGTTGGCCGACTCACTGGGCAGGATGACAAGATGGAGCTTCTACGAAGCATTGTGGGAGGTCTACCACATTATGACATTCACCTTCCAAAAAGAACAGCGAGTATCCCGCCACCCCCGTCACCATTCTTGTTGAATCTGTCCTGTTTGCCGACTGATTTCGATGTATGTGAGAACTGGAAGAGGCCGGTGATTGTCAAGGTCCTCCTGGACTCGGCTAACAAGATCGAAGCTTCACTGAAACCCCTGGAGACCAGCATCAGGAAGCTCTACACTCTCGGGATATGAAGGTAGGTGATGCTGCAGAAACAGGAGTGACGTTGGTAGGACGTTGATGAAGAGGAAGTGTGTGAGTTTGGTTTTACGCCACTTTTAGCAATATTCCAGCAATATCACGGCAGAGGACACCAGAAACGGGCCTCACACATTGTGCAAATGTCGGGAATCGAACCCTGGCCTTCGGCGTAACGAGCGAACGCTTGTACCACTAGGCTACCCTATGCCCCTGAAGAGGTAGTGGAAATAGTAACAAGAAACCAGATTGGTCCGTGAGCACAATGCAATGTGTCCTTTGACATCTTGATTTTCGACTTAGAATTCGGGCTGTTTTTGGATTTGGCATGCCCACAAATATATTAAAGTTTGAATTTATCGGCTTAGTTTGTGTGAATGATATGGTCTCGTTGTCTTCATCGCCTGATCGCGTGAGGGCTTGTAAAAACTATTAATAAAGCTATTAATAAAGGGGACACGGGTGAAATATTAATTGGCTACCCCGGCCAATAATGATGAGTAATATTGATAACACAATATGACAACAAGGAGTTTCAGAAAGTTAACAATGACGTGCAAATGTCATCCCTGTGTTACAGGCGACGCCCTCCACACAGGAGGACAATCAGACTGACACCCCTCGCTGCACCCTGCTGTGACGCCACAATGCCCTTTCTCCCTGCAGACTCCACGAGCGTCTCGACACTTGATACCTAACATTCCTCCAGCTGACACTTAACGCGGACCCTCATCCGTGCACATTCCCATCAGATATGTTATGTGCCAGTGTACATTGTAGCGTTATTTAGGATGACAGTAAATGACAACTTGATTGAAGCGCTCGATTAATATTTACAGGTAACAAATATAAGTATTGCGGGTGAATCTTCGACAGATCAGTCTATAAGAAGTGTTAGTTTTATTAACCTACACGCGTGAGTCTATAAGAAATGTTGGTTTTATTAACCTTCACGCTAGAGTTTATAAGAAATGTTGGTTCTATTAACCTACACGCGAGAGTTTATAAGAAATGTTGGTTTTATTAACTTAAACACTTGAATCATGGTATTATTAAGCAACACGCGTGAGTGTATAAGAAATGTTGGTTTCATTAACCTACACGCGAGAGTCAACAAATATGTTGTTTTTATTAACCTATATACGGGTGAGTCTACAAGAAATGCAGATGAAGAGAGGCTTCACTTCCACCATTTATATCCATATGGGAAGGTGTGAAATGTGCATCCGGGCACTCGAGTACGATGCAGGTAGAGACATTACTCGAGTAGTAAACTAGTAGTCGATTACCCAGAGGAGTTATCTCCCAGACGTACGTGAGTTACCTCCCTTGTAAGAGACGTGTAACTCCTCTGGATACTCGACGTGTAATCATATTTACAGTCACTTTGGACAAATAAACACTTGTTTATTAACTTTGTGTCATACGGTCTTCTTTTGAAGGCGGAACCACTCAACGATGAGAAACCATCTCGAGATGAGGCATTCAAAGCTAATCGACTGTCCTGCATCAGAACACGCAAAACGATCGCTTCTCAACCCCACGTTGCATGTTCCATGTTGCAAACTACACGGGGTTGTGCCATTGCTCAACCAGTAAACACGACCCTGTACTATACCAGCTATATTAACGAGTGAGTGACTGAGGGTGGTTTTACGCCGCTTTTAGCAATATTCCAGCAATATCACGGCGGGGACACCAGAAATGGGCCTCACACATTGTACCCATTTCGGGAATCGAACCCGGGTCTTCGGCGTGACGAGCGAACGCTTTAACCACTAGGCTACCCGACCGCCCCTATATTAACGAAGGAAGGAATGTCCTATATGTCCTCCAATAGTATTAGCGAGTACACACATAATATTTCAAGTGAACTATGAATTGTCAGATTATACAGATAAGTTGGAGAGGAATATTCACCTTGCTGATATTCTTTCACAGTGTTGTATCACTTCTTTGAGAGGCATTTAGAAGTTGGAGTACTTAGAGAGGATAATATTTATGGATGAAGAACTTCTTTATTACAATTAGGGGCGACGTGTCGGTGGAGGTTCTAACATGTTCTTGCTTGATAACGGTGTTAGAACCTACACCGAAACGTCGTTCCTGATTGTAATAAAAGGTGTTCATCCATAAATCTTATAATTAATTAGGTATAGTGTAGATTTAAGCTACCACGAGCAATGTTGTTCGGACAAAACGCTTATGAATTTGGCCGATGTTCAGGGTTCGCACCGCCCCCGATAGGTGTGATAGCACCTACAAGGGAAATAACCCCGGTGTCTTCTGAACAGTCCTCCACTGTTATATTCCGGTCTTGTATCATTGAGTGAGTGAGTTGGGTTTAACGCCGCTTTTAACAGTATTCCAGTTATATCACGGCCTGTCAGCTTAATGTGGGATATGACGTTTACCACTTTGGTGAAACCCACGAGCACGGGTATGGTGCTGACCAAAACATTTAGTCTCACATTACAGGACATAGAAATTCATATTTCAGCTTCAGTGAGTATGTTATATGTATGTTAACTCTACATACAGTCTGCGTACGGTGAATTATAACCTGTTTATGTCACGTAGGTAGACGTCACGTTCGTCCCCGACGACCACGTCATTGGCTGAGTGAGTGAGTGAGTGAGTGAGTGGACACGGTGTATGGTTCTGACAAACCAAGAATGTGGGATTCGAACCGACGACGACAGGATACTGGCCTGACTGAGGGAGCAATGTGCTCATCTCGCATGTAGTTTATGATAGGAAGAAGGGGATAGCTTACCTTCAATTACCACTCGACACAGAGCAAGGGTGTTGATTTCTGTCTGAGACAATGGCAGTACAATAGACACAGTATCTCCCTTGACAGGCTTGTCACAGCGAATCGTGAAGGGAGTCGGTGGGTCATTCGGAGTCGATACGCTCTTGCATGGAAGCAAATCGATATACACCTTTAAGTTGCGGAGACTGGCAGCATGGTCTGAAATGTCATGTTTTGAATCAGAAAAATTGTAAAATTTTCCAATAACACAAAACAGTTCGTTATAATAGTGTTCGTTATAAACGTAGTTTACTGTAGTTGGGGTAGTTGTAGTTCTAAGACACAGATCAGTTTATTTCAGCAGCTACGGTGGACTGTCAATGATCTCATCACGCCCAGACAAAAGAGTTGCTGATATTTTCATCGTCAGACGCCGTCGAGTTACGATGACATGCGAGTCACAGAACATGAATAAACTACCCACTTGGTAGCAACAGCGCCGGGCGCCTTTCTTACCAGGTCCCTGCAGGGACATCATTGAACATGTTATTTACTTGTACACGTGTATACTAGAGAGTTGTATGGAATGTACAACAAACCGAGGATCACTCACAGCAGGTCCAACCATGCAGGCTCCACCCTACACCGGCTAATAACAATACTGACAGACTGATTGTCTGTTCAGTATGGAACCCTCGCAGGGACATTGTCGCGTTGTCGCCCTTACCACAATATGCACAAAGTGGGAAACTTAATCAAAGGTGCGACACTGCAGCACGAGATATTTTGTGTTGGGTATATATATCTTGGTGAGTCATCTAGTCTCCCCTATTGGACGGGGACACGATTACTTCCCCCCCCCCCCCCCCCCCCCCCACATACACACACACACACACACGCGCGCACACACTAACCACACATATACACACACAAATACACCATACCCACACAACACACGCACACCATACACACACACACGCACACATAAGCACACATACACACACACGCACACACACGCGCGCGCACACACATACACACACGCAGACATACACACACAACATACACACACAAACACAGACAACACACACATAAAACAACAACACACACACACACAACACACACACAAACACAGACACACACACACAACACAAAACACACACAAAACACACGCGCACACACACGCTCGCACGCACACAAACACACACAACACACACGCACGCACGCACACACCATACACACACACACACACACACGCGCGCACACCATACACACACACACACACGCGCGCGCGCGCACACACACACCATACACACACACGCGCGCGCGCGCGCACACCATACACACTTACACACACACACACACGCACACCACACACACACACACGCGTACACCATACACACACGCACACACACACTTACACACACACACACACACACACACACACGCACGCACGCACGCACGCACGCAAGCACGCACGCACGCACGCACGCACGCGCGCGCGCACACCATACACACACACCGAGGCGATGCTTACCTCTGTGGTGGTATATTGTCAGTTTGCTGATGTCGAAGGTGTTGTTGAGTACCACCGTCCACACTGCTGCCGTCCCGGACGCGTCCGAGATATATGTGCACCTGGAGTTGGAGTAGGTCCCGGCGACGGGGATGCCCGAGTCAGATCCGCTCGGCTGTCTCCGTGTGCTCCGAGTCGCCCCTTCAGCAGCATTAACTGAAACCACAGGGTGTAAACACATCTGAGTTGTGTCCAGTCTTGGGATGGATCCTGTCGTTAGTACAGCTGTGGCAGCTTATAGGACCCTTATGAAGCTGTGATGTACTGACATACATGTATTGATATTGCAAATGTATTATTGTTTGTTTGTTTTTGGTCAAACGTCGCACTCAGCAATATTCCAGGTATATGACGGCGGTCTGTAAATATTCAAGTCTTAACCAACAATCCAGTGACTGACATCATGAGCATCGATCCACGCAATTGGGATACGATGACATGCATCAACCAAGTCAGCCAGCCTGACCATCCGATCCCGTTATTCGCGTCTTACGACAAGCATAGTCACCTTTTACGGCAAGCATGGTCGCCTTTTACGGCAAGCATGTGTTGTAATCGCTTTGTTCACTGAAAGGCACAAGAAACGTCACTTCTGAAAATACTGATAAAACTTAACAGACACTGGCAGTTACATGTTCTGTGGTCAATAAACTCATTTATCGTTCTACTGCTTCTTTTTGTTGCCTCAAAGTCCATTTAACAATTGAGTTTAAAATGGAGCGCTTTGCCCAAACGCAGACTACAAAAGTGCAATGGGACTCAGTTGCGGAAAGGTCTTGTCAAAAACATGATGCATGTGCATATCGTGAATGGTATAGGTATAAAAGACACCCTGTTAAGCTGGCTTTCGTTATTTCGATTCATCAGCCATGCCAAGATTATCAGGAAACGAGAGACAACAGGCCATCGGAAGACTGCAAGCAGGCCAGAGTGCACAAGTCGTTGCACATGCATTCAATGTCAACGTTAGAACGATATATCGTTTGCAACATCGCCACATCACCACCAACACCACCGACGACCGACCGCGTAGTGGTCGTCCTAGAGTCACTACTCCCAGACAAGATCGGTTCATCATTCGCCAATATCTGCAGAACCGATTCCGAATGGCCACTGAAACAGCTCGGCAAACCATTGGCAACCACCAGCGTGCCATCAGTGATCGTACAGTCCGACGTCGCCTAACTGCCAACAACATTTCGTGCCACCGTCCTGCTCGTGTACCCATCCTGAGAGATCGTCACCGACAGGCCCGACTGCAATGGGCCAGGCAGCATCAAATTGGCGTCAACAGCAGTGGAGAAGAATCATCTTCACTGATAAACGTCGCTACTGTGTTTCAACGGTGGATGGCAGAGTCAGGGTCTGGTGAAGGAGGGGCGAACGTTATGCTGATGCTTATGTTATGGAACGAGACCCGTGGGGCGGCCCAAGCATCATGGTTTGGGATGGAATCGGACTGAACCAGAGAGTGGGACCTGTGGTCGTTCAGAATATTGGTCCAGGCAGGGGTAATGGCATCACAGCTCTCCGCTATATGACCAAGTCCTCAGACCCCATATCGTGCCTTTTTTTGCCCGTCATCAAAACCACACCTTTCAGCAAGACGACGCTCGTCCTCACACTGCCAGAGTCACCAGGGACCAGAAACATCCAAATCATGCCTTGGCCTGTCCTCCGGATTTGAATCCCATTGAACACTTGTGGGATGAGATCCAACGCCGACTCAACGACGTACGTCCAAGGCCGACAACTGCAGCAGAACTGCATGTAGCGTTCCTGAGGATATGGGCCCATATCCCAATGGCCTTCATCAACAGGCTAGTCCACTCCATGTACAGGAGATGTGTGGCTGTAGTCAACGCCCTTGGTGGCCACACCAGGTACTGATTTTGAACCCCCAGCTGTGATGTCTTCTGGTGCCTCCCCAAATTCACAATTCGCAAAAACATTCCCCAGACTGTTAATTTCATGTGGGTCAAACTCTGACTTTATCCTATGTCTTTACTTACATATATAAGCATTTGAAAATAAAAATATTTATATGATACATCCACATGACGTTCCCTTTGCCTTTCGGTGTATATACATCAAACCGTTGATAATGTTGATTCATTAATCTATTGATATACACTGAAAGGCAAAACCACTGTAACAGTGTCAGGTTCTGACGCCTTAGGACTGATTGCCAGCATGCGACTAGTGGGGACTTAGAGGATGAGAACGGTCAGTCCTTGTTGAAGACCACATCTGACAGGTCTCCTGAAGCTATCCATCTCTCTCTGTAACAGTGTCTGGTTAGTTCTACTGTCTGTCAGAGTGTCTGGTTAGGTCTACTGTCTGTTAGAGTGTCTGGTTAGTTCTACTGTCTGTTAGAGTGTCTGGTTAGGTCTACTGTCTGTTACAGTGTATGGTTAGGTCTACTGTCTGTTAGAGTGTCAGGTTAGTTCTACTGTCTGTAACAGTGTCTGGTTAGTTCTACTGTCTGTTACAGTGTCTGGTTAGTTCTACTGTCTGTAACAGTGTCTGGTTAGTTCTACTGTCTGTAACAGTGTCTGGTTAGTTCTACTGTCTGTAAGAGTGTCTGGTTAGTTCTACTGTCTGTTACAGTGTCTGGTTAGTTCTACTGTCTGTAACAGTGTCAGGTTAGTTCTACTGTCTGTAACAGTGTCAGGTTAGTTCAACTGTCTGTTACAGTGTCTGGTTAGTTCTACTGTCTGTTAGAGTGTCTGGTTAGTTCTACTGTCTGTTAGAGTGTCTGGTTAGGTCTACTGTCTGTTACAGTGTCTGGTTAGGTCTACTGTCTGTTAGAGTGTCAGGTTAGTTCTACTGTCTGTAACAGTGTCTGGTTAGTTCTACTGTCTGTTACAGTGTCTGGTTAGTTCTACTGTCTGTAACAGTGTCTGGTTAGTTCTACTGTCTGTAACTGTGTCTGGTTAGGTCTACTGTCTGTTAGAGTGTCTGGTTAGTTCTACTGTCTGTAACAGTGTCAGGTTAGTTCTACTGTCTGTTAGAGTGTCAGGTTAGTTCTACTGTCTGTTACAGTGTCAGGTTAGTCCTACTGTCTGTAACAGTGTCAGGTTAGTTCAACTGTCTGTAACAGTGTCTGGTTAGTTCTACTGTCTGTTTGAGTGTCTGGTTAGTTCTACTGTCTGTAACAGTGTCTGGTTAGGTCTACTGTCTGTAACAGTGTCTGGTTAGTTCTACTGTCTGTAACAATGTCAGGTTAGTTCTACTGTCTGTAACAGTGTCTGGTAAGTTCTACTGTCTGTAACAGTGTCTGGTTAGTTCTACTGTCTGTAACAATGTCAGGTTAGTTCTACTGTCTGTAACAGTGTCTGGTTAGTTCTACTGTCTGTAACAGTGTCTGGTTAGTTCTACTGTCTGTAACAGTGTCAGGTTAGTTCTACTGTCTGTAACAGTGTCAGGTTAGTTCTACTGTCTGTAACAGTGTCAGGTTAGTTCTACTGTCTGTAACAGTGTCAGGTTAGTGCTACTGTCTGTAACAGTGTCAGGTTAGTTCAACTGTCTGTAACAGTGTCTGGTTAGTTCTACTGTCTGGTACAGTGTCAGGTTAGTTCTACTGTCTGTAACAGTGTCTGGTTAGTTCTACTGTCTGGTACAGAGTCAGGTTAGTTCTACTGTCTGTAACAGTGTCTGGTTAGTTCTACTGTCTGGTACAGTGTCAGGTTAGTTCTACTGTCTGTAACAGTGTCAGGTTATTTTTACTGTCTGTAACATTGTCAGGTTAGTTCTACTGTCTGTAACAGTGTCAGGTTAGTTCAACTGTCTGTAACAGTGTCTGGTTAGTTCTACTGTCTGTAACAGTGTCAGGTTAGTTCTACTGTCTGTAACAGTGTCAGGTTAGTTCTACTGTCTGTAACAGTGTCAGGTTAGTTCTACTGTCTGTAACAGTGTCAGGTTAGTTCTACTGTCTGTAACAGTGTCAGGTTAGTTCTACTGTCTGTAACAGTGTCTGGTTAGTTCTACTGTCTGTAACAGTGTCAGGTTAGTTCTACTGTCTGTAACAGTGTCAGGTTAGTTCTACTGTCTGTAACAGTGTCAGGTTAGTTCTACTGTCTGTTAGAGTGTCTGGTCAGTTCTACTGTCTGTTACAATGTCAGGTTAGTGCTACTGTCTAGTTGTTCAGGCTCCTGTTGGCCAGGGTCACCTTTTATCTTCCTGGTGCACGCTCCCACCCAGCTGGGGTGTAATATCTACCCGACCAGGACGTGTCGGGTTTACTGCATAAAGAACGAAACTTGATATTGGTGGCAGGTGTATTCAACAGGCGGCGTCATGCGTGTCTATCACCGCATTGAATTGTTGTAAGCGTTTTCCTCATGAAATGAAAATAAACGCGCATGGAATGACTAGACGGAATGCTGATCACGTCTGACATCAACACCTAGTCTCGTCTTGCACACATTGAATACCAGGGACATTGGTTTTCCCATCCGTGATGAACTTAAAGTAGATCGTATGTCTGTGCGTGTGTGGTGCGAGTGTGGTGCGTGTGTGGTGCGTGTGTGTGGTGTGGGTGTGATGTGTGGGGTGCGTGTGTGGTGCGTGTGTTGTGTGTGTGTGGTGTGTGTGTGGTGCGTGTATGGTGCATGTATGGTGCGTGTGTGGTGCATGTATGGTGCGTGTGTGGTGCGTGTGTTGTGCATGTATGGTGCGTATGTGGTGCGTGTGTTGTGTGTGTGTGGTGTGTGTGTGGTGCGTGTGTTGTGCGTGTGTGGTGCATGTGTGGTGCGTGTGTGGTGCGTGTGTGGTGCGTGTGTGGTGCATGTATGGTGCGTATGTGGTGCGTGTGTTGTGCGTGAATGGTGCGTGTGTGCGTGCGTGGTGCGTGTGTGGTGCATGTGTGTTGCGTGTGTGTTGCATGTGTGGTGCATGTGTAGTGCATGTGTGGTGCGTGTGTGGTGCGTGTATGGTGCGAGTGTGGTGCGTGTGTGTTGCGTGTGTGCGTGTGTGTGGTGCGTGTATGGTGCGTGTGTGGTGCGTGGTGTGTGTGTGGTGTATGTGAGGTTGAGACATGTTTATTTAATCTTACGTATAAACTATTACTGGCTGACTTTGGAATGAACAAGCTGTTTATATACTGAACCGCAAAAAAAACGTCACCCCAAGCAGCATTGCATGAAAAGTTGTCA